GGGGGGGGGGGGATTTGGCCTGATACCACTTCTCATTTATTTTCACACACCTTTCTGACATGCTAGTAAATGCAACAAAAGAATTCTATTTTAAGAAAATGTAGCTTTGTTACATCAACCAGAAACAGCTAGTAAAAAGTTGATAGTCAGTAGAGCAAGGATCATGTAAACAAGCATCTGTTTCTAATGTGGCCAGTGTGGTAAGAAGCACAGTCTAGGGCTCAGCGTGCGACCAGGGAGAAGGGTTTCTTTGTTCTTTATTTTTCATTGAATTGTGCAACTCTAGGTGAGTCACTTTACCTTTTTGTGCCTCAGTTTCTCTACCTCTAAAGGGAGGGGGTGGTTCTCCAGATCGCCTGTCTTGGGGTGCTGGCACTTCGGCACCTGCCGGCAACCTCAGGTGACAGTGTCACGTGCAGGATGGCCCGGGAGCGACCCCGTGGGAAGGGCTCGTCGGGGCCTCCTGTCTGCTCAGGACCACGCTGTAGACTCGCAGCTTCGAGCACTGAATGCGCTGGTGTAAAGTTTGCATAATCCCATAAAGCTTTAATTTTCCTTTTTCTTTCTTTTAAAGGGAAGGACTTTCTATATTCTACTGTAAAATATGGAAATTAAACAGGGACTTTTAAAAGCTACACTGAAAGATCACGGTTTGGTGGTGTGATGAGCCTCTTTCAGGTTCCCCATGGGTTTATTTTGGTGGGAGATTCATAGCTGGCGAACAGATGGATTCTGGCGCGTTACACTTGTAATGAACGATGCCGAGCCTCCTGCTCTCCAGCAGCTCAGCCCTGACTGTGAACTACCTGACACCAGGTGAATCAGGAGCTCCCGAACCACTAGTGCCAAAGGGTCACATTGAAAAGTTCCATGTTTCTTTTATTTATCAGAATAGAATAACTTGCCTCCCCCCCGCCAGCCCTCCGCACACACCCCTTCATATCTGTTTTTGCACTTCGGAAAATTTAAGACTACTGTTTTTAAGTATCATTCCTGAGTCTTTCTTGCCTTTTTAAGTAACTGTTACTTTCTTGTAAAGTGGAATATAATCGTGAAAGAGGAAGAAGGGGAGATGAAAAATGTGAAATGTTGATGGGTTGCATCAAAGTGTTTTCATGTGAACGTGCCGGGAGCTTCCAGTCATCACGCACACACATTTGTCAATGGCTAAGACTTCTTATATTTTGCTGTATAGAAGTAGTCACAGCATGTGATTGCCTTATGTAAATAAAAAGGCTATTAAGTTTTCCAATATTTATTAATCTGTATGTGTTTTAAAATAAAATAACATTTCTAGCCGAACACTCATGTTTTCTGTTGTTTTTTACCCTTTATTTGAAATGTTTGTGTACTCTCAGGTTTTATATCATTCTGACTCCTCAATCAAAAGTTTTCCATTTTCTTTGTAGAAATGCGTAGCCCTGGTCTCCATCCAGACAGAAAATATC